TCATGCTTCCCAAAAAACATCAATATGCTGGTGAGGAGCTGGAGGACATTAAGCTCTCACTGAACTTCCTAACTGAAGAGACATCGAAGATAGTTAAACAGCAAACGGTACTGATGGATTTAGTAAAAGAAGTGAAGGAACTGAAAGCCAAAATCATTGAGAAAAAAAGAGTAGATGGAAGGAGGACAGTTACAATGAGTAAGCCAGGCGGAACATGTGAGTTGTGAGTTGAGACTTGAAGGTTGAGAAAGAGTTTATAATGCGGAGGTCAGGCGGTAGAGTGTTCCAGAGTTTTGGAGCTGAGTGGCTGAAAGCTCTGGCTCCCATAGTACAGAGACGAGTGCGAGGAGCAGACAGGGAAGGTGAAGATGTTCGGAGAGAGCGAGTGGGAGTGATAATGTGGAAGAGATTAAAAAGATAAAGGGGAGCGAGATTATGGATGGCTTTAAAGGCATGAAGAAGTATCTTATAGTCAATTCTGTATTTGACAGGGAGCCAGTGAAGTTGTTGCAGAACAGGGGTGATGTGATCAAAAGTGGAGGTCTTAGTGATTATCCGGGCAGCTGAATTTTGGACTAACTGTAACTTGTTGAGTGATTTTAGAGGGAAACCAGAGAGGAGGGCATTACATTAATCAATGTGACTGTTGACCAGGCTGTGGACCAAAATCGCAGTGGAGTGCTGACTGAGGGAGGGGCGGAGCCAATTGATATTGCGAAGATGAAAATAAGCAGTTTTTATTGTGTTGTTAATATGAGGAATGAAGGATAAGGTGTTGTCTAAGATGACACCCAAGCTCTTAGCTTTGGCAGTGGGGAGAAGTGTGGTGTTGTCGAAGCTGAGTGAGAATGAACTGGTCTTAGATAGAGATGACTTGGTGCCAATGACGAGGATCTCAGTCTTATTGCTGTTGAGCTGTAGAAAGTTAAAAGAAAACCAGGATTTGATTTCGGTGAGGCAACTGAGAAAGAGGATGAAGGGAGCGGGGGGTTTGGTTGGGTAGAGAAGTATAGCTGGGTGTCATCGGCGTAGCAGTGAAAATGAATATTAAACTTCCTGAAGATATTGCCAAGTGGGAGTAAGTAGATTATGAAGAGAAGGGGACCTAAGACAGCCCTGAGGAACTCCAGAGGTAACTGGCTTGGGGTTTGAGCGGAAGGTGCACAGTTGGACAAATTGAGTGCAATTAGATAGATATGATTTAGTTTAAATGAGATATAGATTAGATAGATATGATTTAGTTTAAATGATATTAGTGACCACTTACCTATATTTGTATACTTTAACATCAGCAATGGAATTAAAGAAAGTAGGTGTCAAAGGAAATCAGGGAAAGAGACCTATAAGAGATTACGAACAGACGATTTAATTGCTGCATTCAAAGAGGAACTGATGTCACAAGACTGGGATGAAGTCTATAGGGAAGATGATGTTGACATGGCATATAGTAAATTTATTGACATATTTAAGACACTTTACAATAAGAATTGTCCAGTCAAGGTCATTAATAGAAGTCATAAGTATAAAAATCTCCCATGGCTAACTAAAGGATTACAAACTGCTTGTAAAAAGAAAAATAGTCTTTATACGAAATTTATTAAACTACGAACTAAGGAAGCTGAAACCAGATAAAGTTTACAAAAAAAAACTACTACTACAAAATAAAAACAAACTACTCCGACTCAACTTCCTCTCAGCAGTGGATGAGTTGGAAGTTAAATCAGTTGTTGATAAATGTAACCACAAAGTCTCCACTGATTGTAACGGTATTGATATGGTGTTGATTAAAAGAGTTACTGATGGTATTCTAAAACCATTATCTTATCTATTTAACGTATCCTTCCAAACTAGTTTTATTTCCTCAGAAAATGAAAGTAGCTAAATACCAATTTTTAAGCAAGGGAATAAACATCTATTTAACAACTACAGGCCAGTATCACTTCTTCCTCAATTTTCAACAATCCTGGAAAAACTATTTAATATCAGACTAGAAAACTTTTTAAATAAACATGAAATACTAAACCATAGTCGGTACAGATTCCGAGAAAAGAGGACAACAGCACTTGCAATAATGGAAGCAACCGATGAAATAATTAATACATTAGATAAAAGTAAATATGCTATTGGAGTACTTATAGATTTTAGGAAAGCTTTTGATACAATAAATCACCCAGTTCTCATAAACAAGCTTCAACAGTACGGCATTAGGGGAATGGCACTGGACTGGATCACCAATTATTTATCTAAGAGACAACAATTTGTGAAAATGGATGCTGTCACTTCTGAAAGTATGGGGATTACCTGTGGTGTCCCCCAGGGGTCAGTATTAGGACCTGCTCTATTTAATATATATATAAATGACATTTTTCAAGTCTGCAAAACTCTGAAGATGATCTGATCTAGAAGGCGCTATGTCAAATACAGGCCATTTACCATTTACCATCATTGAATATAGAAAAAACTAAGGTAATGACATTTGGCAATTGTAAAAACAAAACAGAAGAATGTATAAAGATTGATGATGGAAAAATTGAGGATGTTAATGAAATCAAATTTTTGGGTGTTATACTGGATAGTAAACTTAGTTGGAAGGCCTACATTAGACACATGCAAACCAAAGCAGCAAAAAACATTTTAATTATAAATAAAATGAAGCAACTGTTGGACTGTAATTCACTCAATATTCTGTATTGTTCATTAGTTCTGACATATTTCACTTACTGTATAGAGCTTTGGGGAAACAATTATAAAAATGCACTACACCCACCATCAGTATTGCAAAAGAGGGTAATACGTGTCATTCATAAAGGTGGGTATCTGGTTCATACAAATTCTTTGTTTTTACAGTCAAAATACTTTTAACTTCAAGACCTGGTTCATTATCAAACAGCTCAAATCATGTTTAAAGCTAGTAAGCACTTATTGCCACCTAATATTCAAAAGCTCTTCAACCAGAGTGATGAGGGATATCATTTACGAAGGACTAAAAATTTTAAAATACCTAGGGGAGGAATGTGTGTATGTATGTGTGTATGAATGTATGTATGTATTGTCGCGAGCGTGTCCCATTTGTCGGTTCCGTTAAAACCTAGTTCCGTTAGAACCTATAAGACTGCGCTGCTTTCTCAGGGTTCGTGGGGCGTCGGTGAGTTTTATTGTATTAGACCCTGGTTTGGACTCCCTACTAGAATCAGTTTCCTATTTTAAGGTGAAATGATATGCCGTACTTGTCCTTTTGTGAGAGCACACTTCCTTTTAATATCTCCCGTTATCTAGTGGTTTTAGATACTAGGGCAAAGTTCAAAAGCAGGCCATTCTTCTGACAATTCTTTGGGTCATATTAGGATTAATTTGCGCCTCTGTCAGCTTTAGTGGGCAGTGGTAACTAGAAAATGATTCTTGTTAGTTGATCAGACTAACATAGATTTATCAATTAATCTAATTAATCCAACCCTCCCACGCTAAGACTTTTTCACACTTGCAAACAGAGCCTATTTTAACCTACTAATGTTTTGGCTTATCATCCTTAAGACATCTCGTTACTCACGGGATAGGAGAACACTAGCTTCTTCACTTAAGGTTTCTTTTTCTTAATCTGTCACAAACTGTAAAGCAAATCCTGATAATTCAGGAACCTGTAATTAAATATGCTTACCTCTCCTTATTGTTTCGGGTCGGGGCCCCAACTTTAACCTTTAAAAAGGACCTGGAAGAATCAGGGATGTGGATTCTTTTTCCAAAAAGTTTATTACAAGATTAAAAAATACAAAAAATGGGTAGATATAAGACTGATCACTTCCCCCAAGGAGAAATGCTAATCCTAATAATTAACTAAGAATAATGAGTTGGCTTACACCAACTCTAAGTCTTCTTCAGCTTCAGGTTAATACCCTCTAACACACGCTCACTGACTCTCTGTCTCAAAAATGGCAAAAATACAAAAAACGAGTAAATATAAAACTAACCTATCCCCTGTGGGGGATGCTAATGCTAAAATCTTCATAAGAGTAAATGGTTGACTTGCGTCAACACTAACTGGTCACTCTAACTCTAGGTATGATTCTCTCCTTCTCTCCCCAAAAACTGACCTGTCGTTCTCCGTCCAGAGGACGGAGGATGACCTCTTCTATCCCAAATCTGCTGTCTCTCACTGTCGACTGCCACAAAATCTTGTCTCCTCTCTACTCCTAGCTGCTCTTTTTATACTCTTCTTGGGGCAGCCTAGACAAAGTAAAAGTTTTCCAATTACACATTTATCATTATCACATGACAGCAAGACAATGGGGTCACTTGTCAGTTTCATACTTATTAGCTCCACACAAGACATTTGGTGTCATTTTCGCTACTGATCTGCAGCTTCTCCTGAAGTCCAGGATTCTTCATGAAGGCTTTTTAGCTTAACACAAGCCATTTAGTGTCATCTTTGCAACTGATCTTCAGTTTCTTCCGAAGTCCAGGATTCTTCATGAAGGCCTGTCGTCTCCTGATAAGCTCTTTTCAGTCTGCCTCCTTCAGTTCCACCTCTCCTGCTGCTGGCTCGGTCAGACACTTCTTGACATTCTGCCCAATTTTGCTCCCAGAAGCAAGTTCTGATCCCTTATCTCTGCGACCCTTCTGTGGACCTCGCTTCTCGCCACAGTTTCTGACCCGCAGGAACTTGCAACAGTATATATGTATGTATAAATGGTAATAAAGTAAATAAGTAATGTGGGACAAGGGGGTGGGATTGAATAAGAACTTGCTTCTTCTTACTCCCTTTGGACTTCTTTTTTCTTGGTATATATTTTCTTTTCTACTATGTTCATTGATTTAAAAAAAATATTTTGTCTTATGTTCAAATAAACGTTTCAATCAATCAATTACACACACACACACACACACACACACACACACACACACACACACACACAGATATATATATGTGTGTGTGTATACATATACATATATATATATATATATACATATGTACATTGTGTGTGTGTGTGTGTATATATATATTTATATATACACACACACACACACACACACACACACACACACACACACACACATATATATCTGTGTGTGTGTGTAGATCGGATTTTTTCCATCAATCACTTTCAAAAGAATTCATTGTGTCGTGTGTGAACTCAAATGTGACAGTTTAACTGTCTTGCCCCTAAATCTTTGACCACAGGTCTCACAGGCAACAAGGTTTTTCTCTTGTGTGGACTCTCATGTGATAGTTTAAAGCTGTCTTATAGCCATATCTTTGACCACAGAGCCCACAGGCAAAAGGTTTTTCTCCTGTGTGGACTCTCATGTGATAGTTTAAAGTTGTCTTATAGCCATATCTTTGACCACAGAGCCCACAGGCAAAAGGTTTTTCTCCTGTGTGGGCTCTCACGTGATAGTTTAAAGTTGCCTTATATTTAAATGTTTGACCACAGAGCTCACAGGAAAAAGGTTTTTCTCCTGTGTGGACTCTCATGTGAATGATTAAAGCTGTCTTATAGCCATATCTTTGACCACAGAGCCCACAGGCAAAAGGTTTTTCTCCTCTGTGGAATCTCATGTGACTGTTTAAACTATATTCCTCGCTAAATCTTCGACCACAGAGCTCACAGGCAAAAGGTTTTTCTCCTGTGTGGACTCTCATGTGACTATTTAAACTTCCCTTTTGACTAAATCTTCGGCCACAGGACTCACAGGCAAAAGGTTTTTCTCCTGTGTGGACTCTCATATGACTGTTTAATTGTGTCTTAAGGCAAAATCTTTTTTTACAGAGCTCACAGGCAAAAGGTTTTTCTCCTCTGTGGAATCTCATGTGACTGTTTAAACTATATTTCTTTCTAAATATTCGACCACAGAGCTCACAGGCAAAAGGTTTATCTCCTCTGTGGAATCTCATGTGCCTGTTTAAACCATATTTCTCGCTAAATCTTTGACCACAGAGCTCACAGGCAAAAGGTTTTTCTCCTGTGTGGACTCTCATGTGACTGTTTAAATTTCCCTTTCGACTAAATCTTCGGCCACAGGTCTCACAGGCAAAAGGTTTTTCTCCTGTGTGGAGTCTCATGTGACTGTTTAAATGTCCCTTTTGACTAAATCTTCGGCCACAGGTCTCACAGGCAAAGGGTTTTTCTCCTGTGTGGCCTCTCATGTGAATGTTTAAAGCTGTCTTATAGTCAAATCTTTCATCACAGAGCTCACCGGGAAAAGGTTGTTCTCCTGTATGTACTCTTTTGTGATAGTTTAAACTTACCTTGTGGGCAAATTTTTTACCACAGACCTCACAGGCAAAAGGTTTTTCTCCTGTGTGGACTCTCATGTGACTATTTAAATTTCCCTTTCCACTAAATCTTCGGCCACAGGTCTCACAGGCAAAAGGTTTTTCTCCTGTGTGGACTCTCATGTGACTGTTTAAATCTCCCTTTCTACTAAATCTTCGGCCACAGGTCTCACAGGCAAAAGGTTTTTCTCCTCTGTGGACTCTCATGTGCCTGTTTAATTGTATCTTAAGGCTAAATCTTTTTTCACAGAGCTCACAGGCAAAAGGTTTTTCTCCTGTGTGGGCTCTCATATGACTGTTTAATTGTGTCTTAAGGCTAAATCTTTTATCACAGAGCTTACATGCAAAAGGTTTTTCTCCTGTGTGGGCTTTCATGTGCTTGTTTAAAGCTGCCTTTTGGCTAAATCTTTCACCACAGGTCTCACAGGCAAAAGATTTTTCTCCTGTGTGGACTCTCGTGTGAACGTTTAAATCACACATTGCACTAAATCTTTCTCCACAGTCATCACAACTAAATGATTTTAGTTCTTTCTGGACTTTTTTGCATGAGTCTGCATGTTGCTTCACTCTAACACATTTCTTTTTGACCAAACAGCTTGAAGACATTATTGCTGAATGACCTGACACTCTCACATGTTTCTGGAGAGACCTCTTGTGGAGAAATTGTTTACCACACTCAGGGCAGCTAAAGGACTTGTTGACAGTCCTAACATGTGAATCAGAAGACCTGCTTTCATTCCAGTCACTGTCTTCTTCTCCAGTTTCAGACCCAGAGTCTGACAGCTCAGAGTCTAGATTCACATCATCACCCTCTTCATCATCTCCACTCATTTCAGTTTCTGAAGAATCAGATGTCTGTTCATGATGGTTCAGATCTTGGTTCCTGCTAGGTTCTGCTCTTCCACCAGTTTCTGCTGTCATCTGGTGAGCTGAGCTACTGGTTGGAACTTCTTTGTCTTCTACTTGCTGCTGATGAAGCTGTGAGAACAGTGGTTTCTCTTCATCATCCTCACTCTTTATAGAAGCCAATGTGAATGGAAACCTGGCAGCATCAGTTTTCTCCTCCAAATGGAGTTGCTCTCCCTCCAGGCTGGTCCACTTTTCCTCTTGTTCCTCCTTCATGTGGATGTGTTCTGGGTCTTTCTGGTCCACACCTGCACTTTGTTCCTCAGGAGCTTCTTCTTTAACCAGCACCAGCTGTTGAACATCTGTAGGAAACACAGAAACATGATGTGAATTACCGATCGATAGAACTTCACATTCATACTTACTCTCACCTAAAGGATTATTAAGAACGCCTGTTCACCTTCTCCTTAATGCAATTTTCTAATCAACCAATCACATGGCAGTTGCATCAATGCATTTAGGGGTGTGGTCCTGGTCAAGACCATCTCCTGAACTCCAGACTGAAGGTCAGAATGGGAAAGAAAGGTGATTTAAGCTATTTTGGGCGTGGCATGGTTGTTGGGCCGGTCTGAGTATTTCCCAATCTGCTCAGTTACTGGGATTTTCACCCACAACCATTTCTAAGGTTTACAAAGAATGATGTGAAAAGGGAAAAACATCCAGTATGCGGCAGTCCTGTGGGCAAAAATGTCTTGTTGATGCTAGAGGTCAGAGGAGAATGGGCCGACTGATTCAAGCTGATAGAAGAGCAACTTTGACTGAAATAACCACTCGTTGCAACCGAGGAATGCAGCAAAGCATTTGTGAAGCCACAACACGCACAACCTGGAGGCAGATGGGCTACAACAGCAGAACACCCAATCGGGTACCACTCATCTCCACTACAAATAGGAAAAAAAGGCTACAATTTGCACCAGCTTACCAAAACTGGACAGTTGAAGACTGGAAAAAAGTTGTCTGGTCTGATATTTGTCTGTAGTTTTATATCGTCCACCAGGCCCGTACTCTTCAGTTTTTGGATCAGATCTCTGATTTTTTGTCTTATTTTGGTGCTAAATACTGATAAGGTCATTGTAGTGGGGGATTTTAACATTCATGTGGACATTGAAAATGATAGCCTCAATGTTGCCTTTAGTAATATCTTGGACTCAGTTGGTTTTACCCAAAGAATATGTAACGGTGAGACCTGCTGTGGTTGCTTCTATTGGCGCTAGCACTCTAAAACCCACAGAACCTGAAACCAGACCTAGCAAACCGATTAAACCTCCAAGAAGAGTTCTCTGCAGTATCACCCGACGTGGTCCTTCGAATAAACCTCACATTTCGGTGACCCTGTAGGGGGTACTGGACTGTGAGGCTCTCATGGACACGGGTTCAGATTATACCATCATGTCCAGCTCTCTCTGGGAGCAGGTCCGTATTGTTGCAGCTGCACAGGGTCGCGTCATAGGACTCACAACCTGCATTAGGCAGATCCAACCGTTCTCTGCAGATCGAGGATCCTTGTCGGATGTGGTATCCATCAACTTCACAGTGGGAGACATGTCCATGAGCCATCCAGTGTTTGTGACTAACATCGAAAAGCTTCCATTCGTAGTGGGAGGAGACCTGTTACAACGCCTTGACGCCGGCATTTCATTTAAAGATTGGTCACTTCAAAATGAGGCGACCCAACCGACGCCCTTGGCGTCCCTTGGGCACCTCATTACAGGTTCAGGCGGTGACAAAGTCAACGGAACCGTCAACCTGGTTGGTCAATCCATTACCAGTAAGGTCAGTGACATCCAGAGAGTCTGTAACACCACCCCACACGGAGGTGGGGAAAACACCTACCATAGTGGGAGTTGGTGGTTGCGGTGAGACACCAGCTGAGATTCCGCACCCTGCGGTGGGAACCACCTGCCAAAGGGGGGACTGAGGGTGAAGCTGATACTCCGGTTGAAGCTCAGAACCTTGCGGTGGGGAGTCCCCCTGCCGAAGGACAGGCTGATGACGTCGCTGACGTTACTGCGCTACAGCAGGCGCTGGTGACCTTTAGCCCAGAGGTTGGTGACTCACCTACCGATGGCGAGGGGGTCCGGTGCCCTGTACCACCACTGGTTGACCCCGATCTCTCTGACTGCTCCTGCGCGTCGAACGAGGGCCCTTCGGAGCCTCCACCTGCGCCGAACCCTCGCAAGGCCGCACCACACTACAACCTACAGCGTCTGGTAGAATACGTTTTGTTAGTAGCGTGTTTCGGGCTGCTATCAACTGCAGTTGGTACCCATCACCGGCTACCTCTAACGCATCTGTACGAACCTGGGCCCTCTTCGGGTATCGCACTTCGAGACCGCCCAGGTCTACTAATGACTAACTATCGTTTATTTACGCAAAAGATCTTCGTCAAATTCGACCCCGCTATGGCATGTACTGATAAGATGAAGAATGCCTTCGGCAACCTCTCAAAAACGGGGGAACATTGGACTCGTACCATGACACAGCATGCAGTAGCTGATGTCAGTCACATTCTTAAGCAGGCACTTAAGTACACAGTTTCTAACAGTGAACTTTCTGGTACCAGCAGAAGACCAAAGCGTTTCCTGGACGGACTTTTCTCAGTTGGTAATGCAATTGGGAATCTTTTAAACTTCCCATTCTACGCAGTCAACTCGGTTGAGATTCACACAGTTCGTCGACATGCACGTTGATGAGCTTAGCAGAGAATACCCGGATCTGTGTAAGCAGGAACTGCAGCAGCGACGCGCCCTGAGACAGCTGGGCATGTCTGAAAAACAAACTATGGTGGTACTCAACACTCATAGCGACATTTTGCGTAAAACAACTTCAGCTGTGAATGAGTTGCGTTCCTTTGTGAATGTTGATTATGCTCATACACAGATGATGACCGCTTGCCTGGCCGACTATGGTCGGGACATGAGCGCCTCGGTCGACCTTCTTCTCATGGGGAGGATCCCTCCGTACCTCGTGTCCCTGGACATGGTCCCGTCTGCGATTGCTAGGGCAGGGGTGGACCTATAAAGCACCCGAGCGCCAATGGCGCTAAATTTTCTCGTTGGGCGGTAAATACTTGACGACTTACCGCCCGGGGGCGCCCAAGCCTTGTTTGTCATTTATACACCGGCTTTCACCTACATCATGGCCCTGCCCTGTAGGATGCCGCTGTTTTAGTTTAACGCGTGTGAACCTGCGCGCCTCTAGCCACGTACTGCACTTGTACGATTTGTGCACGTACTGCACGATTCTAGTTCTAGTCACATGAACTATAAGTTCACTATAAAAGATGAAGTGGAACCACGCTAGAAACACACAAGCACTCAGGAAGATGGCGCCACCAAATGGATGGGATTTCTTGATGAAATCTCTGGCAAAACGCTTTAAAACTGGTGAGGAGAAGCGAGACAGTTCGAAACGGTATGAAGCTTTGTAGGAAGGTTTGAAGGTTTGTAGGATTTTCTTTTTCCACCTTCGGAATACTGCTAAGATTAGAAGCATCCTTTCCAGGAGTGATGCTGAAAAACTAGTTCGTGCATTTATTACATCAAGACTGGATTACTAGAATTCATTACACTCAGGAAGTCCACAGAATGTAGTTAAGAGTCTTCAGCTTGTCCAAAATGCTGCAGCTAGAGTTCTGATGAGAATTAAAATGAGACATCATATCTCTCCTGTCTTAGCTTCCCTACATAGGCTGCCTGTTAAATTCAGAATAGATTTTAAAATCCTCCTTCTCACATGTAAAACTGCTAATATTCAAGCTCCATCATACATCAGTGATCTGATTGTTCTATCCATTCCTAACAGAGCACTTTGGTCTCAGACTGCAGGTTTACTGGTGGTTCCCAAAATATCTAAAAATAGGATGGGAGGCAGATCTTTTAGCTATCAGGCTCCTCTCTTGTGGAACCAGCTCCCAGCTTTAGTCCATGAGGCAGACACCTTGTCTATGGTTAAAATATGATGTTAGCCCAGATCTGGACAAGTGGGGGAGTAGAAGGAGGTGGAGTGTACAGTCGGTAAAGACGGCTCTCCCTTGCCCTGCCTCCATCATGCCTCCATCTAAAAGGCTAGGTTATCCAGAGAGTTATTTCTGTAGTTATGCTGCTATAGGCTTAGACTGCTGGAGGACATACTGAACACTTTCCACACTCGAATACTTTCTTCTACAATCTGCTCTTTAACTGTATTATTTTCTGCAATTTCAGCTACAACGATGTTCTGCTGAGCTGTGGTGGCCTCACAGGGGGGTGGGGGGTGGGGGGGGGGATCGTTTTGAACACTGCTACTAACCATTTAAACATTCTCCCTCTCCTGATAATAACATTTTACTCTCTTTGACATTGAATGTGCTACTACTAGTTTACCCATTTAATTATACATTCACTAGGATAAATACAATAAAGTTTATCTCCCACCGAAAAGAATATTTACTAAGAAATCACAATGTAACCATAGAAACACTACTTGGTAAATATGTTGAGTGTAGGGCTGAAACGATTCCTCGAGTACCTCGGATAATTCGAGTACAAAAAATCCTCGAGTCAAATTCTCTGCCTCGAGGATTCGTTTAATTCATATTTAATTAATTCATGGCTTTGCAATCGCCCGGGGTCATGTTTCACCCAGACCGAAATAAGTGACGCACATGCCCACTGGGCTGAATGCACACGCGAGTAGCGAATATAACTTAACTTTCTCTTAAGCCATGGCAGACAACTTGAACCCCGGTGGAGTGCGAAAAAGACAGAAAAAGTCAAAGGTGTGGGACCATCTTTCACGTCGTGAGACGGAAAACGTGGTCCAGTGTAAAAACTGTAAAATGGATTTAGCCTACCACAACACCACATCCTCCATGCTGCAGCACCTGTAAATGTCACTTCTGCAAGCGGACTCGGAGCCTCTACAAGGTAATGCATTTTAGCCTGTATTTCTATATATTCTGCAGACACTGTGCGACTTTTTCATTTGTAGCACTCAAGTTTCAGCTCACACCGTACGTCTGGTAGCAACACGTCGGACTTTTTATTGTGTTATTGATGTTCGTTGTCCCTCGGGGTTTCTGCAGGAGGACACAGGAATTTATGAGAGTGGTGGAGGAAAACGAAAGAAAGTAAATAAATGTTTTGTGATCAGTATAATTTGACAAAACCACGGCAAACATGCTTTCTCGACAATCCTTGTTAGTGTGAGAAAAAAAAGTGTAGAAATTAAAACGGACGTGTGTTAAAAGGGAAACAGCCGGCGAGCCGTTTGTGCATGCGCCGTGAGCAGTTCTGGTTCTGTTTGGACCGCAGCCGCTCGC